GGGGCCTCCTCTGTTGTGGCCCTGCTGGATCCAGCATCCAGTTCTCACAGTAGCCAATAGGAAGTCCAGGACCTGAATGCCATAGAAACTCACCCACCTTGTGTTTGCCAGAAACTGGTATTCAGAGGCATGCAGAGGATATAGTACGCCATCTTGGCTAGAAGCCATTGATCGCCTCCCTCTCGCAAGAATTTGTCAAGTCCTCTTTTAAGGATATTGGTGGTCATAACTATGACCTCCGTTTTGTTCCAGAACCAGGGGGGCGGGGGGAAAGCTTTTTTAACTTTTGTCTTTGTTTTCTACAAGTAGTTTCATGCCGGCTATTTGATCCTCCAATTCTGCGATTTTATCTCCTTTATTGCAGTGCCGTTTCACTGCAATTTCTTTTTATAAGTTCCATTTTGCAAGCTGGCTCCAAGCAGTTTGGCTGGAGAACGGCCAGCAGGAAAAACTAACCAGGTAACTTTGAAAGGATGGGGGAGGTGAAAGAGAGAGAGTTGACAAGTCACGTACAGGCAGGCACTTCAAAGCTGGCTGGCCTGTTGTTGTTTGTGGGCTGTCGGCCAAGCTGGGGCTTAAATTAAGCCTGCAATTTGCCCCCGACCCCATTTTCAATTCCAGGATTTGGTCCTCAAGGAAGTCATGTAGCTGCTGGAAGTGGAACAGGAGGGATCATTCAGCGTGTAAGTTAAGGGTTAATCATATTAATGCAAAAATCAACTAGTAAAGGGAGGGCAGTGGAGGTGTTGGTTAACAACCAGGCAGAGTGGCTTGATCCTCACTGAGCCAGTACTGCGCTCTCATTGGCTGCACAGTTCTGAGGTAGTTTTCCCTCTGTATGTTTGGTTGAATGCCTCCCTGCTATGCACAAGGCCTGGACTAAGAAAGACAAAACCTTGTTGAATTTACATAGAGTACAGTGGTACCTCGGGTTAAGTACTTCATTCGTTCCGGAGGTCCGTTCTTAACCTGAAACTGTTCTTAACCTGAAGCACCACTTTAGCTCATGGGGCCTCCTGCTGCTGCCGCCACGTCGCCGGAGCACAATTTCTGTTCTCATCCTGAAGCAAAGTTCTCAACCCAAGGTACTATTTATGGGTTAGCGGAGTCTGTAACCTGAAGCGTATGTAACCTGAAGCATATGTAACCCAAGGTACCACTGTAGTATATTTTGGGTTATGCTTGCATTTGTCGGCTTTCTTGGTGAGGGGGTTTAACGTGAGTGAATTGGGAAAACCTGTATTTGAAGTTTGGACGACAGACATGTTTAGATCAATGCTGTTCATATTAAAACTCAATAAAGATTACATTTACAAAAAACGGAACCTCTCACTTCCTTTCCTCTCAAATTATGCGCTGTTTTTGTTTGATTTCTTCAGTAGAATGCCAACAGGACTTTTCTCCCCAGACTGCATCTGGTAATTTAAACAAATCTGCTAACAATAATAAGAATGAGCACCTTTCCCACACTGCAGAGAACACACACACATATACACCAGCTCTGTGGATCATGGATGCTTTAGCTGAAATTCCTGCTTTGCAGGGGGTTGGACTAGATGACCTTTGGGGTCCTTTCCAACTCTACAATTCTAATATTCTACGATTCACTTCCAACGCTTCTCCCGCTTTTTCCTCTGTCTACCTCCAGCATGCGGCCCCCGAAAGCTTGCCTAAAAGCGAACGAGGCCCTCAAGCTGAAAACATTCCCCCAGCCCCGCTATCAATCAAGACTTTGAAATAAAAAATGTAAGCGTGCAAGGTTGGTATCCATCAAACACTTGGGACAGTGGGGCAGAAGGAGGGGGGTAACACTCCAATCTAATCAGACGCCTTTGCTATAAATCAGACGGGAGAATTCTTCATTTGCAGCGCCGAGTCAGCTCATCAAGGCAACTGATTCCAAGCCCCTGCCAACATCTCTCCTTTCCAGCAAGTCCTGGGGCCTGTCATTTAAGATGTTACAGTCCAATGGTAAAAGAGACTCTTACGCCCAGAACACAATGCAGGGAGGCAAGAGTGGAAAATACTGGAATGTACGAAACAGCAGCCTTCTTCTGAGCACAGTTTGCACAGAAAACTGGACGGTAAACATGGTGGGTCAACAATCGGCAGAAGATAACTCCGGGAGGGTGAAGCAACCTGTTCTGTCCCTCATTTTACAGGAACTGGCCTGTACTTCACGTGTCTCTCGCTTGCACAATCTCTTTGCTATTAAGAAGGGGGGGGGGAATGCATTAGCAAGTATGACAAAGGGGTTTTTCTAGCATTTCAGACAAAGGATGCCGAAATAGCTTCAGGCTGCTTTTATGGATTCCGACTTGATGGCTAAAGCCTTGAATCCTCAGAAGAAGAGAATTGGATCGGTCCAAGATCTCACAGCGGCCAACCAAATGCAAATAAGGATCCCACAGACAGGAGTATCAGAGCAACCACTGTTTCTCTCTAGTGTTCCCCAGCAACTAGCGTGATTTATTTGCAACCCGTACAGTGCTGTAAAGTGCAAGAAAACATTACATCTAAATAAAAGGAAAGTGTGTGGAAGTGAGAACTGGACCATAAAGAAGGCTGACAGCCGAAGAATTGATGCTTTTGAATTATGGTGCTGGAGGAGACTCTTGAGCATAGCTGTCAACGTTTTCCTTTTTTTTAAGGGAAATTCCCTTATTCCGAATAGGATTCCTCGCAAGAAAAGGGAAAAGTTGACAGCTAAGCTCTTGAGCAGGGGTCAGCAACCTTTTTCAGCCGTGGCCTGGTCCACCGTCCCTCAGACCATGTGGTGGGCCGGACTATATTGGGAGGGGGGAATGAACGAATTCCTATGCCTCACAAATAACCCAGAGATGCATTTGAAATAAAAGGACACATTCTACTCATGTAAAAACACGCTGATTCCTGGACGGGGCCTTAGGTTGCCTACCCCTGCTCTTGAGAATCCCGTGGACTGCAAGAAGACCAAACCTCTCCATTCTGAAGGAAATCAGCCCTGAGAGCTCACTGGAAGGACAGATCCTAAAGCTGAGGCTCCAATACTTTGGCCACCTCATGAGAAGAGAAGACTCCCTGGAAAAGACCCTGATGTTGGGAAAGATGGAGGGCACAAGGAGAAGGGGACGACAGAGGATGAGACGTTTGGACAGTGTTCTCAAAGCTACCAACTTGAGTTTGACCAAACTGCAGGAGGCAGTGGAAGACAGGAGTGCCTGGCATGCTCTGGTCCAGGGGGTCACGACTGAACGACAACAAAAGGAAACACCAAATAAGGCAATCTCACCCCAAAATATCATATAATAGTACACCATAGTACACCAGATGGGGCACATACACCTCGGCAGGTAGCCCATCTAGGGGAAGGAAAGCTCTGATCCTAAACTTCCACTGCCTTGCTGGATATCTTCAGGAGAAGAAAAGGCTAAGGAGTAAACTCTGCACAAATCTGGAGTGGAGTCCTTAAGATGGTTGGGTGACGCTTTGTACGCCTCCTTCCGGCAACTC